TCGACTTCAGTGACCCGACAAATGGAAAGTTGCTGGTCCGCAAAAAAAGGCCACGCTAGAAGAGTTTAATGTAAAATTTTTTAGTCGCACATGAGCGGGGAATACACCCTTAAAATTAAAGCCTCCAACTTTTCCCGAATTAGCAGTTTTCCCATCAAAATTTTAACATGTCCGTACGTGAGTACCAGACTTTCTAAGGAGCTGGATTTAAAATTTTTTGATCATACATAGATAGGGAACATAACCCTAAAATTTCAGCTTTCTAGGTTTTTTCGTCCCTGGGTTAGTGACTTTCGGGCCAAAATTTCCACGCGCTCGTGCGTGAGCTCGGACGCTTTTAAACACCTGATTTTGTAGAAAACATCCCCGAAAGTTTCAGCTTTCTTGCTTTTTCGTCCCCGAGTTAGCAGTTTTGCGCCAAAATTTCCACATGTCCGTACGTGGGCTCGGGCGCTTCTAAACACCCAATTTTACTCGTACATGAGTAGGGAGCATTTCCATAAAGCTTCAGCTTTCTAGCTTTTCGCTTCTCCCGGGTTAGTAATTTTCGCGCCAAAACTCTCACATGTGGCGTACTTCGATCTCGAGCCATAAAGTTTCAGCTTTCTAGCTTTTCCCTTTCCCGGGTTAGTAATTTCCGCGCCAAAACTCACACATGTGGCGTACTTGGGTCTCGAGCGGCCTCTAAACAACTGATTTTGTTTCTACATAAGTAGGGAACATTCCCGTAAAATTTCAGCTCTCCAGCTTTTTTCGTTCCTGGGTTAGTGATTTTCGCGCCAAAATTCCCATGTGCCCGCACGTGTGCCCCGAATGCCTCTAAACACCTAATTTTGCTCGCACACGAGTAGGGGACATTCCCTTAAAGTTTCAGCTTCCCAGTTTTTCTCGTTCCCGGGTTAGTGATTTTCGCACCAAAGTTCCCACGTGCCCGTACGTGAGCCCCGGATGCTTCTAAAACCTGATTTTGCTCGTACATGAGTAGGGAACATTACTTAAAGTTTTAGCTTTCTAGTTTTTCCCGTTCCCGAGTTAGTGATTTTCGCGCCAAAAATTCCAAGTGGCCATACGTGAGCCCCGGGCAACCCTGGATAGCCGAATTTGAAAACTTTTAGTCGCGCATGGTTAGGGAACATTCCCCCAAAGTTTCAGCTTTCTAGCTTCTTTCATTCTCGAGTTATGAATTTTCCCGCCATAATTTTCACGTGCCCGTACATGAGCCCCAGGCAGTCCTGGGCAGCTAAATTTGAAATCGTTTTGTCGTATACTGGTGGGGAACATTCTCCCAAAGTTTTAGCTTTCTAGCTTTTCTCGTTCCCGAGTTAGCGATTTTCGCGCCAAAACTTTCACGTGCTCATACACGGGGTGGTACCTGGCTGAGGAACACACTGGCAAAATTTCAGTTTCAAAGCTTGCGCGATTAGCAAGTTGAAATACCCGGACAGACGAACACACACACACACGCACACAAACATACACACACACACTGACAGGTTCGTTGCAATATGCGTTTTTTCTGCCTGTTGCAGCGCTCTAGTGCTGCACAGCAAAAACGCATAAAAAGCAAAACCAAGGAATTGGAGCCTGTAACCAAAAGCAAAAAAAGCAAAAGTAAACAAAAACTGAGCTTATGCGATCAGCATTTGTCTTGCAAAAACCCGTCTTCAATAAGAAGTCCCCGCATTTATGAGGTTTATGCTTAGGTGAAGCTGGGGGCAAATAAGTTCGACAGGATTTACTGATGCTTAGGTGAAGCTGGGGGCAAATAAGTCGGACTGGATTACACAAGAATTGCAGACAATTCCACAGTGTTACCTCTCGCAGCCTGCGACTTTGCACAACAGTTATACCTTTGTTTTTTTTTTTTTTTTGTCTTCAAAATGTCAGTTGAGCAAAGGCTGATTTCATCCTCAGGCATTCATTCCACCCTGTTTTTGCCCACTTCATGAAACTTATTCGCTCTCAGCTTCACCTAAGCATTAGTTTCATAAATAGGAAAGTCCGATGGCGGGTTTTATGGAATAGCTTTATCTAAGCATCAGTTTCATAAATAGGGAAGCCTAATGATGGGCTTTTGTGGGACAACTTTACCTAAGCATCAGTTTCATAAAAACGGAAGTCCCAGGAGCACACTTCCTCATCTTTTCCGTTCCTCCCCTCTCCCCTCCAAATGTACGTTACTTAGTCAATTGGCAAAGGATCTACGCAGTTTATTCCTTATATCCACTTGTGCTAGTCCCCTCCCCTGCCTCGAACGAAACCCGCCACATTCCACCCTCCCCCCTCCCTCCACTTCCATCTCCCACATCCAAACTATCGCCATACGCCATGGGGCAGCCCTACTTGCCGTCGAAAGAAAAAATTTTTTGCGGCCTGTGTATGAGACGAGACGAGCCGATCCGAGCCGAGCTTTTGTAATTTACTTTTTATGCGTTTTTGGCGTGCAGCGTTAGAGCGCTGCAGCAGGCAACAAAAACGCATATTGCAACGACTCTGTCAGTGTGTGTGTGTTTGGGTGTGTGTGTGTGTGTGTGTGTGCATGTATGTATGTATGTATGTG